CGGCCCCACCAAGATCATGACTACACAGTCGCGTGGGGAAGGCCATGTAGGGCAATAAGTGGGTATTTTGTTCCCAAGCCATAATATTACGCACACACATGGGGAGGGCCAGATAGGGTGAGAATTGGCTTTCCAGGTCCGAAACACCAGGGGCATGCTTCGCACACCGCCCACCACGATTACGCCTGTACGTAGGGGGTCCAGACACCCTCCGTCTCTGCCCCTCTACTAAAAATCTTCCGTTAAATTGATTGAATACTTGCTTGAGCAAACTTTTATCTACAGAAGGAGAAGATTCAGAATTTTGTTTTCATCATGAAAGAAAGGTGAATCCAATAGGGGGCAAAAAAAAATAAAAAATAAAATCATATACATAATATTATGGACGTATGTACATAGTACACGTTTACATTTTGTTTGAATACTTGGATGACCATCGGGCAAAACGGGCTTCAGACGGAAGTAGCAAAACTGGAAAAAAAAAAGGAAAATTAAAAAAAAAAAAAGCAGCTCATCGGCCCCTATACAAGGGCGAGGGCTCTCTTTAGACGCGGATGACCATCGTTCAAATATTTGACGAGGGATGGGGAGCCAGAAGGTGGGGGAAACCTTTGGAACAAAGGGCCGAATCTCAACAGATCGTGACGACAAGGCCACTCTACTGCTTACAACACCCCGTTCCCTGTCTAGGTCGTCTGCAAAGGGTTTAACTCCCCTAGCGAAAGAAATTGCGATGAAGAGACCGCCAAGGCGTCGGTGCTCCGCCTCAGGAGGGACAACTTTGAACTTATGCTTTCAGGGCCAGACGGGCTGGCCCTATCGACAACCTTGTGTCATCCGAGGAGGCATACGCCGTCGCTGCAAGCACAGATTCTGACCTAGAGGCGTTCAGTCATAATCCCACTAACCGTAGCTTTGCACCGCTGGCTTTTCAGCCAAGCACAATTGCCAATTGTGCGAACCAACGGTTCCTCTCGTACTGGGTTGGATTACCATTGCGACGGCGGTGCATCAGTAGGGTAAAACTAACCTGTCTCAGGACGGTCTAAGCCCAACTCACGTTCCCTGTTGGTGGGTGAACAATCCAACACTTGGTGAATTCTGCTTCACAATGATAGGAAGAGCCGACATCGAAGGATCAAAAAGCAACGTCGCTATGAACGCTTGGCTGCCACAAGCCAGGTATCCCTGTGGTAACTTTTCTGACACCTCTAGCTTCAAGTCCTGAAACGCTAAAGGATCGATAGGCCATGCTCTCACAGTTTGTATTCGTATTGGAAATCAAAATCAAATGAGCTTTTGCCCTTTTGCTCCACACGAGATTTYTGTTCTCGTTGAGCTCATCTTAGGACACGTGCGTTATCTTCTAACAGATGTGCCGCCSCAGCCAAACTCCCCACCTGACAATGTCTTTCGCTTGGATCGGACAGGCCACGAGGGCCTGCACCTTGGATCGAGAAGCAGGGGCAGAGCCCCGGCTCCACCTCACNGCCCCTAGCCTCTACCACGACCCTTGATCCCCAAACAAGCCACAAGCTCCGCACGAAGCCGAGGTTGAGGCCGGGATGGAAAGGAGGTCTGGACAAAGCTGAGATGGGAAGGAGCGGGGGTACGAAGGCCGAGGACAGCCGCCACCATCCGATATCCCACCCTTGACCCTCCCGCAGGGCTGTCCGTGCCCGGACCAACCGCCATCCCGACCAAAAGTCGAGAATGGGGTTGGGCCGAGGTAACAACCTGCCGAGGTGAGACAGGATGAAGGGGGAGCAATGCCACAAGGCCCCGACCCTGCCCACTCCCCCCACCCTCGACCTACACCACGCGCCCCTCTGCGCCGGGCCAGCCGCCAGCTGGGGACTAAGCCCAAGGTGGTGCTGAAACGGAAGAGAACAACGGATGCAGGGAGGATGGGGGCAAAGGGCGGCCCAAGGGCGAGCAAGCCAGCGTCCCACACCCCGAAGATCGGCCATTCACTTGTCAATGATCCTTCCTCAGGTTCACCTACGGAAACCTTGTTACGACTTTTCCTTCCTCTAAATGATAAGGTTCAATGAACTTTTCACAACACCCCCAGCCGCAAAACGCCGAGATCACCGCAATCCAGACACTTCACCGGACCATACAATCGGTAGGAGTGACGGGCGGTGTGTACAAAGGGCAGGGACCCCAATGGATCCTCGTTCAAGGAGTTTACGACTGTTCTCATTCCAATTACCGGACTCGAAAGAGCCCATTATTGTTATTTATTGTCACTACCTCCCTATGTCAGGATTGGGTAATTTACGCGCCTGCTGCCTTCCTTGGATGTGGTAGCCATCTCTCATGCTCCCTCTCCGGAATCAAACCCTAATTCTACGTCACCCGTTACCACCATGGTAGGCCTCTATCCTACCATCGAAAGTTGATAGGGCAGAAATTTGAATGGAACATCGCCGACTCAAAGGCCATGYGATTCGACAAGTCACCATGATTCACCGCAACAACGGGCAAGCCCGGATCGGCCTTTTATCCAACAAATACATCCCTTCTAGAAGTCGGGATATGCTGCACGTATTAGCTCTGGAATTACCAYGGTTATCCGAGTGGTAAGGAGACCACCAAATAAATGATAACYGATTTAATGAGCCATTCGCASTTTYTTTTWTTTTYTTTTWTTTTTTTAAACACAACRCACACACCTGCCCCTTCTATTCTGGGGGGCGACAGTCCGGTTGCTTATCACCGGGAAGCAAGTTGTGGGAGAAGAGCTCCCGAGTTCACTAGTTGCTATTACCTGCCGCATGCGGCCGCTGGCGCTTGCCAGGGCTGATACCCCCCGCGAACCATTTTGCTTTCTGTCTGTCTATTTTTCTCAACAATTGCCATGCGCAGTTTCACCGTGCAAAGTGTTCACACTTAGACGTGCATGGCTTAGTCTTTGAGACAAGCATATGACTACTGGCAGGATCAACCAGGTAGCAGGTGTGACGAGCAGCCACAAGTAGCGATGGCCGAGTCGCACGTAGGCACGTCACGCCGGACAGCCTACCAAAAGAACGTCGAACAATCGTGGAACGTGCAATCAGCTGCCGAGACGCCGCGAAGTCCGGCTGTTTGAATTGCAGGTGAACTTCCCTCCGTAGGCCATCTCCAACGGCAAGGTACCGCACAATCCAACACAGCCCGCCGCACCCRCCCAAGAGATTGGCTGCGAACAGCACCCGCCCACACCACACCCAGAGATCGCAAGTTAACCACACTACCCGAACAACTGCGCGCGCGAAGGAACCACCGACAGCTTCGGCCCACAGCCGGATGCCACCGCCTGCCCAAAACGTACCGACAGCGAAGTGCACAGCCTCATCTCTCCATCGASAAACGCGGGTGAAGAGAGAAATGAATGCACCACGCTTCCAACACGCCCGGACAGACGGAAAGCCTCCACCTGTGCACGGGGGCGCAAAAGGAACACAACCCCTCTCCCCCCTGG